TTTTATTTTGAGTCAGGGTCTCACTGAGTTGCTTAGGGCCTAAGTTGCTGAGGCTGGCTTTGAACTCGCGATCCTCCTGCCTCAACCTCCTGAGCCGTTGGATTACAGGCGTGGGCCATCAGGCCCGGCAGAGACCAATGACCCTTGAGCCCATACTCCTCCTGCCTCAGTCACTGCCTGCCCCTTTGCTTTTTGTTTTATTCAAGTGAGTTGGAATCGGGTTTCCATCACTTGGCATTGAATTAAGCCTTTAGAACACATGCAACTGAAAAACAGACCTTCAGGTAAGTCATACTAAGGTAGCTAGGGAGGCAAGGGCCCATCTACATTCCACACATGGCAGGGCACTGTAATTAAATACAGTTCACTGCTGGAGGCCTCTGTCCCTGTCAATAAAACCATGTTTATAAGAAGCAGAGTGGGTGGAATTTAACTCAACCTAACTTTGTAAAGATTCCTTTCAATCCATCTTAATAACAGCCTGCCACATCTTAAAACCAGCTAACCACAATGGGACTTGGGTGCTTTTCTTGGGGGGGGGGGGTGCGTTTTCTAGTTCAAGAAAAGGCTTGACCATGATCCCTGGTCTCCTATTATGACAGGCAAATGTGATCTCCAAGATCAGAGGCRGGGAAGCTGTTTTCCCTGTAGGAAAGAACCCATGGAGGAGTTGTTCAGGACCAACTCYTCTCTGGGAGAAGTAGCAGAACTTTTACCAGCCAAGAAAAGGATCCCTTGGCCACCCCAGGGCTGTTTAGCAGCTATCTGACTCTACCATTGCCCCACGAAATTTTAACATGGTCCCCCCTCTGCTGGGATGAGGTCTCAGATCTTCCCAGCCGAAAACCAAGTCTCACTGGCTAGGTGACTCAGAGGGAGGGCAATTTATTCAAGCAAAGAATTGCTGACGGTGGCGGCTGCGCAGTCTCTGTTTCAATGTGTCAAAAACACAGTCCCATATCAGATAAGAACTGTGGCTGAACCAAGCCAGCCAGAGCCAGTGTGTGCCTTGGAAAAAGAGTCCYTGTTTTCTGGCCAATACGTTGACCTAAGCCTCAATCAACTGGCTTGTAAACTGAGAAGGATGGCCTTTCCCTTCACAACCGTGTCCCCAGAACCAAGAGAGATTAAGATGGGATGATGGTTAGTTTGTGTGTGTTTTTTTTTTAAATAACTGTCCTACATAGTACAGATGACACACACTTCAAAGGCTCCTTAGTAATGCCATTTATAAATATGCCGCTTCAGCGTGTGCAGAGAGATTTCACAGGCCTGAGCTGAGCCTCACAATGACCCTGAAAGACAGGCTCAGCAAGAATCATCACCCCCATGTGCAGATAAGAACCCTGGAGCCTGAGCACAGGGTGGCTCTGCCCGAGTTTGCACGGCAGGTAAGTGGCGGACTCACCCTGCAGCAGTTCACCTCAAGAGTGGTCTTGTTTTGGTGGTGGTGGGGAGGGGTCCCGGGGATTGAACTCGGGAGCACTCAACATTGAGCCACATCACTCAGTGAGACCCTGTCTCTAAATAAAATACAAAATAGCTGGGGGTGTGTCTCTGTGGTTAAGTGCCCCTGGGTTCAATCCCTGGTACCAAAAAAAAAAAAAAAAAAAGAAAAATGTCTTTTCCTTCTAGAATTTTCCATTCATAAAGTTTGCTTTTTGGACAAACTGAAGTAAAAATGTGAATAGACTTAAAGAAGACTATGGAATAAGGAGTAGAAAATGATAAAAGCAGCAAAGGACTAGAGTTAGGAAAATGCCACTCCAGAGCAATGACCCCGACCCTTTGGCAGGAACTTTCTAGAATCAGGATAAATGGCATCAAACATTCTCTGACTCATCACTGATGGGTGATGAGGTGCCTCCACGGTTTCTATATTGACTAGAAACCATGCTTTCTAAACCCTTCCAATCTGTTCTCAAGAGCACTTGGGGCAGCTACTAAAATACACAAAGAAACCTCTTCAAACGGGGCTTGGGAGGAATGGGGAGGATAAGCCCTCTCCACGCTGGAACTTCCTTTATCTGCCATCCAATAACAAAGCTCTAGCCTCGGGTGGTTAAATGAACACTCCATGTGACTCACACTACAGCGATATTTTACTTCATTTTGATGAGTTTCCATAATTTAAAAAGCTGCATGTGGCCATCAGCTGCCACACTGGGCAGCTCAGGCCTAGCCCTGGAGCCTTCACTTTGGGATGGTGCCATGCTCTTCCAGCCCACCTCGATGCCTGCCTTCCTTCCTTCCTTCCTTGCTGGTCAATCTTCTCTCACCCCAGTTCCCACAGGGAGGAGCTCTCCCAGCCCAGTGAGAAGGGGAGCCGGAGCAATCTGATTCTACCTTAGGAATCCTGCAGCAGAGCGGAAGCCCAGACTGCCAGGGGAGGGCAGCCTGCCAAGGGAGAGAAACCAGAGGGTGCAGGAGCCAGGGCCCAGGCAGAGGTGGAGGAGTCGGGGGAGGCTGAAGACCTCCAGGGAGCTGGAGCCAGAGCCAGCCACTCCAAGGGCCAACCTCCCAGTCACCCTGCAGGCCCCACTCCATGAGGCGAGGAAGAACTTGGTGAAAACAGCCCCACAATGACTGAAAAATGAATGGAAAGAAAGAGGACGACGGTGTGGGGGGGGGACCAGGAGGGACTTCAGGGCCCTGCTGGGGGCCAGTGACCCAATCCCGGACTCCTTTCTTCTCCCATCTCAAGCCCTGACCTGGCCATTGGGAGGGTCTGCCAAACCCACTGCCTTCTGTGAGGACCGTCACCCACACAACGGGGGAGTCTCGATGCCATGTTTCTGATACACGCCTCTCTCCTGGGGATCAGGACGGGAGCCAGAAGAGGGAGGAACAGTGAAAGAGATGAGAGAAAAGAAAATGAACGTAGAGAAAACCAGGAGGTAAGCTGGGTGCAGTGGCACACACCTGYAGTCCCAGAGGTTTGGGAGGCTGAGGCAGGAGGATGGCGAGTTCAAAGCCAGCCTSAGCAACTTAGCGAGACCCTAAGCAATTTAGCTGTCTCAGAATATAAAAATGGGCTGAGCATGTGGCTCAGTGGCTAAGTGCCCCTGGGTTTAATCCCTGGTACCACAATACCAAAACAAAACAAACCAAACCAAACCAAAGAACAGTAGGTCACAGAGAAGGGGTGTGTGATTATCTGGGGTCCCAGTTATGATCATGCAATAACAAGGTCATCTAATTTATCATCAAACCAGGAGGCACTCAAAAGGGGCACTGTTAACAACTATGCTGGGACCACAGGCCTAAACCAAGACTGTCAAGGCCAACAAGAACACACGGTGTCCCCAGGCACGAGAGGTGGGGATGCTTGGCTCCCTTGGGTTCCATGAGACTCCTCTGAAGTTTGAGGGCTAGGGGACAAAGCACAGGGGCATCTAACCAGAGTGTGAGCCTGGCACAGCTCCCAGGCTGTGGGTGCCCCCCCCCCACTGCCCTCAAACACACACACAGCTTTGGTGACACACTGCCCATCCTGATTCTGAACGAGCAAGAGAAAAGAAAGAAAAGATGGAGGGTCACCACGAGTTCGTCCCTACAATTGCCCCCCTCTGAAGTTAACGAAGGGTTTGGATCCTTTTTAGGCCTCTGTATAACCGATTCCCTCCTAGGCAGGAAGGCACTGCTTTAGAAGTCTGATTTAACGACAATGTTCCGGAGCAAGTCGGGGAGCACCCAGTCCAACCTCCCAAACATCGAAGCCTTCCTCTGCATCTCTGGCCAACGTCCAGACGGCACTGCCAAAGGGAGGAGGTGACATCTGGAGGCTGAGTTATGAGAGGTGTTAGGTCTGGGAATGGGGGAAAAATGACTTTTCATTTTAAAATAATTTCAGACTTGGGAAAAAAAAATGAAGGTAAGACAAAAATACAAATGTCTTTACCCAGAATATCTAGATGCATATTTTCTAAAGATAAGGCCATTTCTTTATATAACAGAGTAGAAAGATCAAAATCAGAAAATTAGTATTGATGCAATGCTATTAATCTGATCTATGAGTTTATCCAAATTGTAATCGACTATTCCACTAATTTTTCCCTTTACTTGTTTTACAGTAAAGGGAAAAAAATGTTTTTTCCAGTCTAGGATCCAATCCAGGATTTGCACATTATGCTTATCTGTCCTTTCTCTCTAATGTCTCTAATGTCCTTTAATCTGAAACAACTCTTTGGTCTTAGTCTTTCATGGCATGCATATATATGTAATAATACGGGGCAATTATTTTGTAGAATGTGTTAATTTGGAACATTCAATTTCAATTAATCTTAATTTATTTATGTACCAAGGAATGAACTCAGGGGCACTTAACCACTGAGCCACATCCCCAGCCCTTTGCTGTATTTTATTTAGAGACAGGATCTTACTGAGTTGCATAGGGCCTCGCTAAATTGCTGAGGCTGACTTTGATCTTCCTGCCTCAGCCTCCCAAACTGCTGGGATTACAGAAATGCACCACTGCACCCAACTTCAATTCATCTTTTTGTTGATGTTACATGGGCACAAAAGTACCAGAAAGCAATCAAGCCATTACAAAAAGCAAAGTTTAAGAAGCCCAAGGTGCAAAGCACCACAAATAAGGGGAGACATTCATGAGCCCCACAAGGCCCCCCAAGAAGCGCAAGGTTTACGTAATAACCCTGTGCATGCAGGCTAGCACACCCAGCTAGAAAGACTGATAGGACCCAAAGCTTTATCAGTTGTGACCACACGTTTTTAAACCCGCAGGATTCTTTGAGTAAGAGGCAGAATTGCTAAAACCACACGCTGCTCCAAATTCAACAAGTGAGCTATCTCCATGTTTATGCCAAGAGGCTTTAACATAGTTCTTTAAGACTCACTCCCCACTCCCAAAAGTTGAGTTATTAGATTTCAGAAGGATTTTACAACTGATATGTGCAATTATCAGGATGGTGTTTCAGCCACCAGCCAAGTTGTTATGAAATACACAGCCCTCGTTAGCATAAGATTGAGAATCGGCGCAATATGGCGAGTTCACAGCCCAGCCTTGGAATGTTCTAGAGATCATTCAGTGGGGCCTTCATTAGAAGCAGGAGTCTACTGACCACAGCATCCAAGCAAGTCAGCTGTCTCACTTCTGGCTTTTGGACAACCTCCTCCTAACCACAGTTAATGGTCTTGGAAAGAGAGGAAAGACACAGGATGCAGAAGGGCCACAGTCAAAGTTCACTGCTGTAATTTTACAGACCCAGAAGAAACAGTGTCAAAATGGTTGCTTCTTGGAGTAGAACTGGGAATGGGGAGGGGTGAAGCAGAGGACTTTCATTTTTCATTATAATTTCTCAGGGCTTTTTTTTTTTTTTTAAATTCTGCTCCAGGTGTGGGGCGCATGCCTGTAATCCCAGCAGCTGGGGAGGCTGAGGCAGGAGGATCACGAGTTCAAAGCCAGTCTCAGTAAAAGCAAGGCCCTAAGCAACTCAATGAGACCCTGTCTCTAAATAAAATATAAAACAGGGCTGGGGTTGTGGCTCAGTGGTCAAGTGCCCCCGAGTTCAATTCCCTGGTACCCAAAAAGAATAAAATAAAAAGGGCTGAGGATGTGACTCAGTGGTTAAGCACACCTGGGTTCAATCCCTGGTACAAATAAATAAATAAATATTCGGCACAAGTATTGTTTCAATAAAAATAAAAGTCAGACTACTATGGCATAGATAGATGACAAAGCTTTTGTATTTCAAGACTGAGGATGCTTCATAATGTATTCAGCATGTGGCTGGATTAAAATCCAGAGCTTCAGAGTATCAGGGCTGGAAATGAGTTTGAGCATCATTTAGCTCAGATGCTCCCATTTCACAGATTGAGTAAAGTTCCTCTTTCAAGTTCCTCTTTCGGGTTCTATACCTGATTGACAACGTGGTTCTCCAATTGCAGGCCTGTGCTCTTTCATTTCACTAACTTTAGTGGAGTCCCAAAATGCTTCTGTGCCCCAAACACACACTATTTAAAAATATCTTGTCTCCAAGCCTCATATTCCCGGATTTAAACCCAAGTTCTACCTCCATTGGCTGTGTGACATGGAAGAAATGACTCAGCCTCTCTTTGCTTGTGTGCTCATCAACATCCTTGAGCTCTTGAATGAACAAGATCAACTCTACAAACTGCTCTACACAATACTTAGCACAGAAAAAGCTTTTGCTAAATAATTACACAGGTACCATCAGTGACAGGGTGGGAACGACAGGACCAGCACTGGTTGAACATTACCCACCCGGGATCATGCCAGGCATTCTACAAACGCCACCTTATTTAATCTTTAATCTCCAACATCCCTGCCAAGATAGGTATTGCCCTTTGCTTTTTTAAGAAGGAAGGAAATGAAAACCCAGAGGAGCTACAAAACAAACAAAACCAACATGCCAAAACTTACTGCAAGGCGGACAAAGAATTCAAACCCAGCTTTGCTGCACTCCAAACCCATGGCTTTTAGCATCACAAGCCATGCAGTTTAGTTTCTATCGGCTAAAGCCAAAAGAAAAAAAAAAATCGTCAGGCACGGTGGCACACACCTGTAATCCCAGCAGCTAGGGAGGCTGAGGCAGGAGGATCATGAGTTCAAAGCCAGCCTCAGCAACTCAGTGAGGCCCTAAGCAACTTGGAAGGCCCCGTCTCTAAACAAAATATTAAAAATAGCTGGTGATGTGGCTCAGTGGTTAAGTGCCCGGGGGGTTCAATCCGTGGTACCCAAAACAAAAACAAAACAAAACTACAAACTGTTCCTTCTGACTTTGGTATGGCTGGCTTATCTTGGGACACTAGGAGTGCTAACCAAAGTCCTTTGCTTTGCTGCCTGGTTAACCATTAAAACACCTTGAGAGAACACTGGGAAATGAGGTTGTCTCTGCAGTCTGCCCAGGAAAGGAGGAAAGCCTATATCCTCGGGTCTCAAAATGAGCCTGGTCTTCACATCACCATGCCGAGAGTGGCAGTTTTCAAACACGTCCCAGGGTTTCCTGGTGCTRCAGCCCCCCCTCCCCCCATCAGGAGGAAGTTCCAAGGCTCAGAGAGAAAAAGTCATGAAGCTTCCACATGGTTGTCTTGGGACCCTATCTCTGGGGGAAGCCACAYGACATAAGGAGATCAGAGTACCTAGACCACCATGCTGGAAAAGTCACTCTCAACACTCTGGTCAATGCCAGCTGAGCTCCCATCCAAGGGCCAGCATGCACTGTTGGACCCATCAGTGGGCTCTTGTGGATGTCCAGCCAAGCTCTCAGATGACCACAGTCCGGGCTGCAAATGCATGAGGCTCTGGACTAAGTCTCCCTGAACTCCTGACTCACGGGCAGAACAGTTGCTTCAAGCTAGTAAGGTTTGGAGAGCGTTGTTATGCAGAAATTATAACCAGAACAAAGAGGAAAATCAACAGCCCCATTTCCTCTTTCTCCCAAGACAGTCAAAAAGCAAGGGCCAGATGCACACCTGGAATCCCAGCTGCTCAGGAGGCTGAGGCAGGAGGGTCACAAGGTTCAAAGCCAGGCTCAGGAATTTAGCGAGTCCCTAAGTGACTCAGTGAGACCCTGTCTCTAAGTAAAATACAAAGAAGGGCTAGGGATGTGGCTCAGTGGTTAAATGCCCCTGGAGTCAATCCCTGGTACCAAAAAAAAAAAAAGAAAAAAGAAAAAAAAGAAAGAAACCAAGGCTGGGAACACAATCTGTGCATTTCAAATCTATGGAAATGTATCGGAATCCTTTGACAGGAGGGCAACCAAAGGGCGGGGTGGAAGAAGACAAGCTAACCCCATTCATCATGCTTTGGTTGAGTTTGATGCCAAACAATAAAAGTGCTTATATTAAGTGGGCTTGGCTGTGGTTAGAATAAACAGCGGATATTCCTTTCATTGTCTCCCCACGGCAGTTAATTTTGGTCAATGCAAACATTAATATCTCTTAGATAATCTGGCAAAACACAGCAAAAGAAAACTCAGGCAAGAATAGACCCGATTTTTTTTTTTCTATCTTCCTTTAAGGAAATGAAAGGGGCTGGTTCACTGAACTCTCTAAGAGCTACTTTGCAAGTACCGTGGTGCTCTTGGTTAAAATCCACTGCAAAAAAAAAAAAAAAAAAAAAAAAGAAGAAGCCAGATCTTCTTTACTGTTTGTTAGAAACATCTATGTGGCCATAGGCAAATTAAGGAACTCTCAAAGAGGAGGGCTGAGCAAAGATACTGGGACGGCTGCCAAAGGATGGGGGTGACTAGATGTTTCATTCATCCAGCCAAAACACACACACACACCACTGCGTTAAAAGCCCCTATGATGAATGCTGAGACGGAAAAATAACAGCTCAATATTAAAAGGCTGCAGTCTACAGGGACCAGAGCTCTCTGTCAAGCTGGGATTTGAAGATTCTTATCTACCACAGAGATGGCAACAAATCTGTCAACCTCCATAGCCTGTCTTTTTCTGAGGCAGGGACACACCGTGCATACGTGACTCAGAGGGAAGGCACCTTGGATATATACCTAGGAATACAGTCACAGCCTGCAGGAAAATCAGCTTGTACTACAACAGCAAGCACCCCCATCATGGTCCTTATCCAGGACCACCTGCACATCTTCTTATGGGTGTTTACAAATTAAAAGACTTGGAATTTTTTTTAAGGCAATAGTCAATTTCAATATTAGATAGCTGCTGGGCGCAGTGGCGCATGCCTGTAATCCTAGCAGCTTGGGAGGCTGAGGCAGGAGGGTTTTGAGTTCAAAGCYAGCCTCAGCAACTTAGCGAGACCCTGTCTCTGAATTTAAAAAAAGGGAGGGGGGTGGGCGCTGAGGATGTGGCTCAGTGGTTAAGTACCCCTGGGTTCAATCCCTGGTACCTCCCCGGGGGAAAAAAAAAACAACATTAGATAGCTGTTTCTACGTCCTGGTCAATAACCCCACTAGTATCATTTTGCTAATGCATGAGACTATATAAGACCTGAACCAAGTCTTTGCCCACCTAGAAATTATGTAAACACTCCCATACAGTCAGGAACTAAGTTTGAAGACCTAAATATT